TGATCCTTGTCTTGTTTCTTTTCTATCTATTTCTATATCTTCTAGTTCTTGATCTCTTTCTTGTTCTTCTTCTTTTTCTTCACAAGAGAATGATGATTCGGTTTTCACTTGATTATTACTTGTTTGTCCTACTTGTATACTTACTTTTCTTCTTGTAATCTCTATACTTACTTGTAAACTTTTGTTGACCTTTTCATCCTCTTTTTTTTTTTTCTTGTCTCTTCTTTTAATGCTTCTTGTCTTTTCTCTATCTTATTTGTCTGTTGTTGTTCTTTTTCTTTTCTGTACATATTTTATCTTGATGTTGTTCTACAAAATCAAGTTTCTTCCTAGGTTGTTCTTTTTCTGCTTTTTCTAATATCTCTCTTGTTATTCGCAGAAGTGCTACTTCATTTGGGTTTTGTTTTGTAAGTGCTGCAACAATATTATCTTCTCTATTTGGTATTGCATATACCTTACTTGCTTCATTGAAGAAGATTTTATTATATACACTATTCATAGCCTCATATGCTCTTTTTATAAAAATTATATTCAGACTCACTCTGTATTCTTCTGGCAAATTTTTGTTTATATTATACAGCTATTTCTATATATTTCTATATCACGTGTTGTATCTATACTAAACTGGTTTGATGTACATGTTTGTTTGTTTACTTTGCCAATCCTATTGAGACTTTTTGTGTAACCTGAAGGATCTATGATACAGAGTATTGGCAGTTTTTCATTTTTTCAGAAGAATTTACTACTTTTCGTCAAAATTTTCTATATACTGTTTTCTACTGTTGCTCTAGTTCTTCTTTTGTATTCTTCTATTAAACTATATGCAACTTTTGCTATTCTGTCTTTCTTGTTAGTACCTCAGGTTTTGTTTCCTAGTCTAGTTATTAAGTTTTTCTACATTTTCTTTCCTAGAATTTTTGGTCAAGGGATCTACAGAGGAAAGTTGTTTAAATATTTTTTTAATTGTATTTATCTTATTAATTTAATATCTATTTTAATAGTATTATTCAAAATAAATATGTAAATGTATTTTTTATGTCTATTATTGATCTTTTATTTTTGTGTTTTTAACAACTATCTTGTTTTAAAATTTTTTATTATACTCTTTCTAAAAAGAAAATTAAATATTTTTTTCATGTTTATATTTATATTTTACAAAAAATATATATTCTTAAACTTTAATATTTTTTATAAACTTATTTTTTATTAGTGTTATTTCTATTTTATCACTTAGAAATTATTTTATGTAATATAATTATAGGAAAGTGAGAGTAATTTATATTGTTTATATTACATTTTAATAATGTATAGGTACATGTTGAAGTGTTACATGTACCTATACTATAGAAATAACTACAGATTCTTCTCCATCCACTAGAATGATTTTTTTTCTTTTTTATTTATTAATAATAATAATTAATGACATGATATATCGATACATAATGTTTAATTTTTTTTTGGTTTTTTTTTCTTTATTATTTATCGTTATTATATGATTAATGACATGTTATATTGATACGTAATGATTAATAATGCCATTAGTTTACACAATTTGCGCCTACGTATTATCGTTATACATTTGCATAAATTTTTGGCAAATTTTCGTGTAACCCTGTACGTATACTTTCTGAGGAGGTTTTTAACGATCTTTCGTGTATACGTAAATTGATTCTCAAAAATATACAACGATAGTCATCACATAATCCAATGCACTTTTTTTAAATTTTGAATTTTAACCCTTGTTTATACTTAGGATCATTCAAATGGCGTGTATGGTTATCAAGGCAGAGGGATCGTTAGTGAATTAAGGTTTGGAACGTCACGTGCTCGCACGATTACATACTTTCGGCAAAGCAAATATTTAAAGAAATTAGTTTTTATAATAGTGGCTATTCTTGGTCCGAAAATATTAAGTTCATATCTAATAACTACGCGAGGCCATTAATTTTTTCTACTTTCTTATCGTATAACAACCTTATAACTATATATAAAAATGCTCTTATGAAGTCATGTCTAGCGAAATAGGTGATCAGGTATTACCGTTACTGCATGTATAAATGGTTAACTTTAGTAATAACTAGGAAAACAGGAACTGTTGTAAGTCCGGAGCAGAAATTGATTTGTAACAGCCAATCAAACGGTTTAATTTGATATTAATTAATCACGTGGTCGGACAGATCTGCGTGACAGACACCAAATTTTGCTAATGACCTCTAGTATATGTGGCTATCACGTGATATACGTATTCCCAAAAATGTAAGTCCTTCGCTATGCTCCGGACAATTATTACAATTCTGATCGTAAGACAATTATAGATTCGACAAAATTTAATGAAATTAATAAATATATCCCGTTCAAATATCAAATTACCGCATGATATTTAATTACCATCCACTAATACTATCCAAGGAATAACTGTTCCAGGTAATGAGCATCACATAATTTTTACGTAAAATAACCAGAATTATCTGTTTAATCATTAACAATATTCGTTATTTAGGTAATGACAATGCAGTAAAATTAAGTCGTATAATCCAAAAGGCAGGATACAATGTAAAGCCAATCCGATCACCAACCGTCCCTGTCGGAAAAGAACTTGCATACATGTTGATAATACTGAAGAAGAAATGAAGATTATTTTAAAGAGAATATGGGAATAAGAAATAACTATATATCAAGACTAAGATCTTTTTTATTAATTCAAATCTAAAATATTTACTTTGCATAATAAACTGATAGAAACTAATTTTATGATTTAAACACTCGTATAGAAATATCAAGTTAATAATCGTCCTTTTGTATTATAATATATGAATATCTATTCAACTTAATCCTGATTCTATATTTATTAACATTGATTTAACCAATTGATTGGTTTTTTTAAGTTTGACATTATTTGACTGAAATTGGGATATATATTTTGAACCCAAATTAAATAGACATCTCGATTACAAAATTCAAGCTATGTAATAATGTCAATTCAAAAGAATTTTCTTGACCAAGCCCCTAATCTTTTCCATAGTGAAGGTTTCGAATCTTCTTCTTGTTTCAGTTTAGCAGCTTTATCTATTGCGGCTACAAGTCCTGAATAATATTTTGGATTAGCTGCAGGTCTATAAATCCTATCCGAAAGTGGGTACTGATAAGAACGTAAAATATACGGACTTTATATATCTTTAAATTTGATGATAACTATTTGCAAAAGATATTATTAAGATTGAAATTTATAATTAACCTTCTCTTTAAATTCATTTTCTGCCAGCCTTTTTAAAGCATCAAGTTCAATTTCTGCATCTAAGACTAAAGCCCTAAGTACATCCGCGTCTTTAACTGCAATATTTTGTCTAAAGCCTTCAGTAACACGTAAGTGAAGAATATGTTTTAAGTTTCGGTTTGGACGTAAATAGTCCGTTGGCCAACGTTCAATTACGCGAAGAAAAGAACGATAAAGCAAAAGAATATTAGTACGTGTTAAAGTAGACATATTAATGATTATAATAATTGGCCAATCTTAACATTTAAGGCCACATGGTATGTATCTTGTGTCAACGTGACTTTTTTGTATGTAGATGTCGTTTCAGTAGTAGACGATTTACGATAGCGTTTATAATATTCCAATCGCAGTTCGCGTCATTTTATCATTTAGGATTAAATTGTTACAATTAGGCCATACAAAATTAATTAGTTGGCCTTCATAACCCGCCAGTCAAAATTCGAAAATTTTTTTGTTTTAATAACCGGGTTGGTTTCTAAATAAAATATTTTTTAAATTTTTTATATATGAAATTTTTTTAAAAAAGCCGGCTGGCTGGGTATTAAGGCACAATGATAATATTGGGGAAACCAAGCAAATGGTTTTTAGTGAGTTTTTTTTTTAATTTTAAAGTAAAATATCAACAACTATTAAACCAAACTTGGTAAATTTTTTATTATTTTAATTCTATAACTATAAAATTAAAATAAAAAATTTTTATCAAGTTTGGTTTAATAATTGTTGAGATATTTTACTTTAAAGTTTAAAAAAAAAAATTTGCTTGCTTGGTTTCTATTGACACCCCCCACATATTAATCAATTATATTGATTTGCTGCACCATAGAAGTGATCTGCAATATATTAAAAGACTATTCTAAATCAGTTCTATTTAAAAAAGTTTTTTTATTATCTAAAAAAAACAATCATATTCTTGCAAAAGTTATTTTATCAGCATGTAGTCTAAGAATCCTCCAGGATCCTGGGGCTTTAAAAGGCGGTTGTGCTCAACAGACAATGATTGGCACAAAATTTTGCCCAATAAAATTTTCCTGTCAGAAGTTTGAAAAATTTAAAAAATTTTTGATTGGTCGTGCGAAACTTTATAGGTTGGTAGCGCTAGGACAGTTATCAACACTAATCTAACGACACATCATGACCAGCGCTATAATTAGGGTTAATGTTAGAATATGACAGAATCAAGGAATTAGATCACGCTGTGTCTGTAGTTATTCCCTTTAGTATATAATGGTAGCAATAATTATTTTTAAAAGATCCTTAACAAAATTAATTAGTAGCTCTCTTTAAAATTGCGTGTCTCAAAATAACGTCTATGGGTGTTATTTCACGCAAATACTGTAGAGCGAAAAAGAACTTTGTTATCTGTTATCGACAAGACAAAGATCAAAAGATAAAGTTTTCAACAACAAGGTAGTATGTAAAGATTACTCCTGTTAATACATTAAATTACATAAATTTAAACATTTTACTCAAACATCTTAACCATTATTGTCCTTGCTAACCAACTTGCGAAAGCTCTTGGAAAATGGAATCCTATTAAACAAGAATTTGATTCCGAAAACGACAATATATACAAATCATTGTAGAACATAAATAGAAGAAATCAAATAAATGTAGTGTTGAAGGAATGAAAACAAATATGCAAAATAAATAATGTCAAAGCATTAGTTCAAATACAAGTAATACATTATTTAGCGTTAGCACGAATTAAACATATATAAATACAAAGTTAAGCAGGTTGCGGAGGTTTAGTTAAGTTCTCAACAGATTCACATAAAGTATTATATTTATAAGAGTTAAGAGGCCATGATCTTCCATCTCCTAAACTGAATATACATAGTATTTTTTAATTTTAGATAATATTAAGCTAAACATAAAAATGAGTAAATAGTTGAAATGACTTACGAATTACCAACAGGAATAAACCAAAAATACCATTCAGGACCCATTACTTGAATAAAATTAGCTCTGAAAAAACAATTAAGTTCAAATATAAGAAAACCATCACATCCAAAACTAAGAACTATTAATGTTTATACAAATGTTTCGTGATATCGTACCTTTTACCAATATCAAATAAATTCAAATATTTGCTTGTGGTAACATCACCACCTTCTTTGATTTTATAATTATGTTTTGTTAAACTTTCTAGAGTTGTTTGATTGGAAAATAATAGTGTAGTGTGATATACCGCAAAACCTATTAAACATAAGCCAAATATACCACCAATCAATATAAGAAATGACCAGTTTAAATCCAAGTTGATTATTGCCTTTAAATGGATACAAAAGAACAGATTAGACAATAAATAATCGAACAAATAAAGTTAATCTATTAAAGAATTAATGATGTTACCTCATAAGAAGATTGAGCATATTGAATTGTAGGCGGAAGAGTGGCAAATGTCACGAAGAAACAATATACAGTACCCCACACGACAAATAAGTAGAAGTACTTATGATTACGAAATCCTATACAATTATTTAACCTTATAGAAATGATGTGTAATATTAATTCACTGTGATAAGAGTATGTAGTGAAAGGTGCTTAATTTACCATGGACAATGACTGAAAAGTTAACAATAAGATTAAAAACTGTATATTTTTTAAAATAAACTAACAAAATTAATATAAATAGTACGTACTGATCCATCTTTAAAACACACCTAAAGAAAAAGAGATTTAAAATCAGTATATATTTTAACAAAAATTCATGAAATTTTATTAAAGGAAATCTATATACTTCTTGCAGACTCTACAATGATGTGTTCTGTCAGGTTTATCTTGTTGGCATTTTTGGCAATATCTTTTTTCACCACTCTGTTTTACCATTATTGACCCCACGGATATAGGATTTCCATTTTCGTCTAAGATAATGGTGTTGGATTTTGTGGCAGGAACGTCGAATGAACTATCTCTATTTTCTATGTCATCGTAGTGAATTGGTGAATTACTATCAATACTATTTTGAGCAGAGTTAGATCTGCGATGTTCCACGGAATGATAGGAAATTGATGGATGTGAACCTGTTGAACCAGCTATCGGTGTCTATTTAATAAGAATGTGAGAGAGTATAATCTTATATAACATTGGCGTTAAAATGTTAAAATATGACTTACATCAGTGGAGTATCCGGGTAAAGTCAGTGTAGCTTTGAGGTAACTCCATACCATTAACACAAGAAGTGGATGATACAGAATGAGATAAACCACCCCTTTAATATGATTCAATTTAAACGTTACACACTAACTTATGTTATGAAGGATATTAGACACTTTTACTATCCTTTTTACCTTGAGTGGGATTTACGTTTAACAGGTATAGAAGACATAGTCGAATCACGAAAGCATAATAGGACCAAGAAATCAATGCTATTAGAAACACTACAGGGATGTAATTTCCAATTTTAAACACGAACTGAGCAAATTTGTTTTCTTCAAGCCATTTCTCGATGCCACTGCTCTCCGATTGAACCATGACGCGAGGTTCCGCTTGAATATTAGAAAAGACGATCGTTGTTTTTACTTGAAAACGAATTACAAATGTGTAATCAAATTTATATTTATCATCAAAGCCATATTACCAAAGCCACAAACCGGTAACACGGGGTTTTGTTTTATATATATATATCGATACCCATAATTATTATACGACAGGGTGAAACCTGAGTTGTGAAATCCGCTATGATCATCACATGAGGGCAACCCGATCCACGAAGCGGATTTCAACTCAGGTTTCACTGTATGGGATAACTTTTTTCTGATTGGTCAATCACTTACAATTGTACTTATACAGTTTAAAGTACTTTTTAAGAATGTAGTAAAAAAAATAAAAATTAAACTCATCGCTATCTTCGAAGAAGTCAACAGTCACTATGCAAAGTAATCCCGCATATAGAGGTACCTACGTAGGTTGTGACTATAGAACTATATTGTTAAATACAGCTGAGCTATTTAAAGAAAAAAGCTATGTTAAAGAGTTCTAAAGCACAAAGAATGTTAATACGTACATAAGAATAGAGTTTTTTTTTTTTTTTTTTTTTTTTTTAAGAGAGGTTTTTCCTCTAGTCCTTTATTTCAGTAATATATAATTAAGTAC